CACAAGCAGCAAAATGAGTAAGAAACAGATCAGATGTCTAAAGTTTCTCTGCAAAGGGGAAAAGGCCCAGAAGAGACAGGAGGATGGATTTATCCCGGACCGGTAGGTGAGCCAAACATTACAAGCCGCTCTGTGTAACATGCGGCGACTGGCTGCTAATGAGGCAATGAAGCTTCAAACTGCTTCACCACGTAGAGACCAAGCAGGCTGTGGATATAAGCAACGCACCTCAGGTGTCATTGTCTCCCATCACTCCCTGATGGGACCGTCTCGGTGCAGAGAAACAAGCTCAGGCTCTGTTAGTCATTATCGTGAGTTAAAATTTTCACGAAAGTAAAATGCTCGTTTTTGTGGCGCATCTGTATGTATCTTATTTTGAAGGGATATGTAAAAGTTACCATAGCGACCAGAGTCAGAGCGTTTGGGCAGTGGTCGAGATGAGATGAGATGAGCTTGTGAGTCTTAAGTCTGGTTTAGACGGCAAGATTTAAGGATTGTCGACCNGCTAATTCACAGTGCTAAGAGCGTCCTACTAGTTCTGATTGGCTGTTTTGGTCAGAACAGTGCATTACTTGAACCAATAATAGTAATTCAGAAAGCAGATGGAGGAGATTGATTGTTTTCACAGATTATCTGTCTCATAACAAACTGCTACGACATCATGACAGCTTTAACAAATATAGAGAAAACATATTTTTATCAAAGTTATGTACTGCAGCTTGAATAAAATGCAACTACATAGCATTTTTGAGAAGTCTGGATTGCTTTATGTGTATTTTGCACATTGCTTTAGACTGTTGCTCATGGGGAGAGACATTTCAGTATCTAAAACTAATAGAAAAAATTTAAGCAACCTACTAACATACTGGATGTGGACTGTTGGATGTTAAATTCATGAGCAGTAAATATTATGCTAATTATCAATATTGAACCAAAGAAAGCAAGGCAGATGCAAGTCTTTAAAATTGTGATGCTATTTATGGATCAAATAGACTCAAAAAATTGTAACAGCAGCTGCGCAGGGGGGCCCAAACAATTTTTTTGTCAGGGGCCCATGATTCCTGGCAGCGCCCCTGACCCAAAGAAATTTTTCAGCTAGCCTTTTTAATTTTTTTTTTTTACATTTTTAGTGTAGTGAACAACAGTCTTATGGGTTATAATCTTTGGAGCACTTGAACGCAACCCCAAGCTCCTCCCACATCCGGTGGAAAACCGCTATCTATCAGTAGAAAAAAAAAATACAAAGAAAAAGAACATCTCAACCAGGAATACACCTCACGGAACCAGGTAGCTGCTCCTGAAAAAGCTGCATATTTTCGAGATTTCAATCGTATCTAAAAGACAAAAAAGACAAAATGATCGGAAGAACGTGATCGGGAAGGGACTGCTGCTGCTTCTTCAGCCGGCTGAAGGAACGAGCTAGACTCCCATGGATAGGCCTTGCAGGCTGCTTCTGCTCTCCGAACTCTGCGTCAGGAACGTGGCGTACGATGTAAGCCTGAGTCGGTCACTGCTGACATGGAAAAGACGGGCCTCCAGTCCGGTGTACCGCCCATTCAGAGCCAGTAAGAGCTTGTAGCATGTTTTCTTGTTTGTATGCTAATCTCTTTTGCTCTGTTTGTAAAAACAGAGGGGACATGTTGGGACGCACAGAGTTATTTGGAACTATAGATAGACACACAAACATACACCGCATATCCGCTTGCATAACAGCAGTCTGTTATCCAGTCTGTCACAAAATGCTGAGGACCCAGAGGCAGCCAACGGGAACGATACACACCAACACCAGCTTACACGAAACCTACTGCGTTTCCAAGGGATTTGCTGCTGTTTTGCCCCCAAATATGATAGATTTGGAAAGGTCCAACCAACGTCCCCAGAACGTTGCCATCAACTTTCCATTAAACGTCCGAAGTGTAGCACACGTCCAGCCAACGATCACTAAACGTTTGCAGACAACGTTCGTTAAACGTCAAAATGACATACATTGATGACATTAAGGACAACGTAGGCAGGGATTTTCCCCAGAAAACTCGCTAATTCCGATGGGGTGTTACGGCTACCCAGCGTGTTTTTATATTAAAAATGTTTTTTTGTTTTTTTTTAATTGACAGGGAATTTGAAAATATGCTTAAATATGTTATAAGAAGACATTATTGGAAATACTGAAGCGCCAACTATAGTGTTGGGGCAAAACACACGCACACACACACACACACACACACACACACACAAATATATACATACATATATATATATATATATACACACAGTATATATATGGGCAATTTCACCCGTCATTTATCGACCCACCTGCATTTAATGCTTATAGGTCATTATTACACATCTCATTCACTAATGTCAGTTTGATAGCATAAATTATTTTGTCACGTTGTGATACACTGTTGTAATATGCTGACAACATGCTAGCCAATGTTTAAACAGTAAGATAAATGAAGGTAACCATGGCAGCCAGTGAGAGTTTAAAGGCTCCTTCTCTTGTCAAGCAGATTGCACGTGCATCTGCTCCGTTTACAAACAAACAATCCATCTATTTAACACAAGGCTGTTATTTACTTTTGGATGTAAAAACTTTTGACCAATGGAGCAAGAGAGAGAATTTCATACCCAAATATCTGGATCTTTTGTCCAACAAAACAGCAAGAATTAGGGAATCCTATCTTGAACAAAATCAGATCTGCACTCTCAGCCCTCTGATCATTGGGCTGTCCTCTCACTCAGGCATAAATCTACGGTCAGTCTGGGGATCGTCTTCCTCTCAAAGCCCTGCAAATAAAAACCCAACCCCATCTCTGCTCCTTGTCTTGACGAACTTGCCTCTTTTTATAATTCTAGGGTTGCCTAGTGACAGTTTGTGGATGTGACTTCCCCAGTTTGAACCTTACAAGGTTTTGGGCCATTATTTTACAACTCCTGCTAGGTATGGACAGTAGCTAGTTGTAAAGGCTTCTTTGCCTCCTTTAAACATCCTCATATTTAATAGCATACGTAACAAAAATTTAAGTAAAACCTAAAAGATTTTTGTAGATATTTAGCTCTACTTCCCTTTATCATTTATTGATTTTGAAACCTCATTTGTTTGTGTTGTTGCAGGCGTGAATCGCAGTGTGCCGGTGACAGAAATCATCTCAGTCAGAGAGGAACAATGGATGAACGGCAGTGATCGAAAAGATGACAGCAGCTGGAAGAAGATCAAAGGTGGAGACAGATCGGATTGCAGGCAGGCCTTCACAGGTAGTCTGACCTTCATTGGTAAACTGGCCCATCATGAGGCAGATCTTTACAGGAAAGTTATTGAGGGTAAGTCATTGTGTGGGCCAGCATTACAGTAAAGACTTTAGTTTGGAATTCAGGAAACTTTTTTCCATCCATCCATCCATCCATCCATCCATCCATCCATCCATCCATCCATCCATCCATCCATCCATCCATCCA